CGTAGGGAGTTTCCATTCAGAATCGGTAAAAGGCTTTCCGTGCATTACGGCTAGCTGCAAAACTTGGCTGATTTTGTTAAGAGGTTCTCACTCCTTCACGGAACTTGTCCGTTTATCCTATGTGCTTTAGCATGATTGCATACAAATAAGTATGTGTGGTGATTGACAAATGACACACGACTTTTATTTCGGTCCTAGTAGTCACATCTAATTCGAGATAGTGTCGCCCGTAGCATTTTATCAATCATTGACTTACTATTTAGACTGTTGAGAGGTACCTCCTACCACTGGTTCAACGCCTTTCCGCAATCAACAGCCGAATGTGCTCAAGACGCTTCATCCGCAACCTTCTTCTCTCAACGCGACTTCTTTCTTTCCTCTCCACTGTGCCGAATCTCCTTGTCAACAGCCTCCTTTCATCTAATCTTCAAGCATCACAATTATCTTCAGCCACCGTAAACAAGAAAACCTCAACCACCAATGTTGCTCCTTTCGACGACACCTTCTGCAAGGCCTTTCTTCTCAGTTCTGACACCAGGCGCGCATCTCTTCACTTACTCTTTTTCTACCTCTACTAATTTAGTAAAGAGCTCATTCCTCTACAGGGAGGACAGCGGAGTCAGCAGCGTGCCATTGGCAGCAGCAATCCAGGACAGTTTACACTGGCTAGCCACCAGCTTTGGACCTCTGGCAACCGCGATGCACCTTATCCCACCCCTACTAGCAGCACTGACGCGGTGCTACTGGGGTGAAGCGAATTTAACTCCGATCGTGGTTGAGGAGAGGGCAACGCGACTGAATTACCGCATTCCCAAGAGCCCATTGCCTATGCCAGTGTACACATCAGGGCGGGTGCTAAGAGGGGACACACAGGCTCCTGGAGTTCTTAGATGCTTGGAGCGAATAGCGTGTCTCTATGGCGTCGAGGTGAGTTTCCTTTCATTTATGTCCAAAGCATCAGAAGTTGATCGCTCAGTGAATAGAAGGCCTTGTAACCTCGCTTTAGTTAATTTGTTGAAGATCGGAGGTTTTCTCTTCGCTACAACAGAACTGCTAACATCATAGCCTTGTTTGGATGTAGTTCTAAGTAGCGACCAAAAATAAATCAAGAATGGTTGACGGTCTAAGTAATACTTTTATAGTGCATTACTGGAGCTGCCCGAGGAGTAATGTGACCATCCCATGCTGTAGTGAAAATTTCTTTTTGATTCACCTGTAAAAAT